GGATTATATATCAATTTGATTGTTTTTTTAACCAATCATGAACCATTATAATATATTGTCCAGATATTTACGTAAACCGGACAAGTGATGTTCGGATATCTACCTAAACCGGTCAAGGGGTGACCGGATTTCCACTAAACCGCTCATGTGTCAACCGGATTTGTGCTTAAACCGCTCAAGAGGCAATCGGATTTCCCTTAAAACCGGCCATGAGTTGTCCGGACTTGGGCTAAAATGCTCAAGTTATGTCCGGATTGTTCCCTTTTTGATTCTAAGTTGTTGTCCGGATTAGATCTCAGGACAAGAGATGACCGGACTTCAAATCCGGCTAAAATAGGCTTGAATTTCATTATCAGGTTTGGTGAAATGGTGGTGTAACCGCGAGAGAGATGAAATGGCGGTGTAACCGCGAGAGAGATGTAATGGCGGTGTAACCGCGAGAGAGATGAAATGGCGGTGTAACCGTGAGAGAGATGAAATGGCGGTGTAACCGCGAGGGAAATAGATAAATATTTATATCTGCATAGGTTTGACTCTAAACTGCTACTTTAGAAAGTATGTTATTTGTGTGAATTTTATACACTCACTAGACCTTTTAGGTCTAATGCTCAGTTGTTGCACTAAACTGTTTTGCAGGTCATCATACTTCACAGGATAAAGGCAAGGGGAAAGTTTAGAATGGATGAAATTTAGTTGCTAATATATGCATTGAGAAAAGTTTTTGTTAATCAATGTTTTTGTTAAACCCATAACTCATAATGTAAAAAGTAATGAAAAACAATAAGTGATGAAGAACCAGAGGATCGATGAAGATATCAAGGCATAAGCGACTAGGTCTGTAGTATAACCAGAGGACCGATGGACGATCTGGGATGCGATGGAAAGAGCATCCTCATCGATTCTCTGGTCATCAACACTTAGCGAATTCTCCAGCAAATCATCCAGAAGCATACAGCAAAAATGTGACAACTGTCAAATTTGAACTACCAGGTTAGCTCTTATTATGTTTATATTAGTGTTATTGAAGATAATTTATAAGATTACGAGTTAGTTAGATTAGATTGGCCGAAAAATTTCTAGAGTTTCCGCTAGTTGCTTAGCAAGTCCGGTTCCGACCCGTAACTATCTGAAACGTCCTATATAGTGCCAAATGCTCCAATTTATACCCAATTTATATAAAACACAAAGTTTTAGTGTTTTAAACATAAAACTTTTATTATTTAAATGAATTTAACCAACATGGGTTTTTAATTTGAAGAAAAATGTCAAAATTGAGAAAAATGACATTTTAACAATTTTGGGCTTAATGTTTAAAAAAAAAATATATATATATATATATATATATATATATATATAGATTTTGGGCTTAGGCCTTCCCCATGGCCGGCCACCCCTACCCTTCCCTCTTAAATCCACTTATAAATACCTTTATTTTCCATTTACAACTCATTTCCACCCTTTTCAATTTATGAAACTCCCTCTCCCTAAAACTCAAGAGTCATTTTAAGATCATCTTCATCATCCTTCATCTTCAGCCACATATCTCCATATTTCTTCCTCCAAAATAGCAAAGATTTTGAAGATATTGCATCCTTCATATCATCAATCAAGATAACAACTCCATCTCCACCATTTCTTGCATTTTAAGTGTTGACAGATTATATGCATGTGCATAATTCGTCCCTTTCTTGCAAATAATATGTTCAAATGTCATGAATCTTCTTATAAAAGTTCATTTATTGAGTTGGGGTTTTAATCCAATTGGTCTCACTCAAAAACAGTGAGTTTTGATTCCCCAAATACTCAAATCAAGATGCATGTGTATCTGGAAGTTTTTCAGTAGGTAAACCCTACTTTAAATAACCATAACTCTCTAAATGATCATCCAAAATCATTGATTTTTCTTCTGGAAGTTAATTTAATGAGTTACCTTTCAAATGCCACTGATTGCAATCTGAGTATGCAATCTGTCCGAAACAAAATGAGTATGCAATCTGTCCGAAACTGACAGATTTGTATATACATGTTGTAATGACCATATCTCTTTCAAAACTCGATGAAAAAGGATGATTCTTCCTTTGAGAGTTAACTATATGAGTTATCTTCAGCAAAAAAGTGGAATCACATGAAACTATGGAGTTTTGATCTCCAAACACCTAAAACACTTTAGGAGTGCGAATTGTGAAACCATCCGTAGGTAACTCCTACTTTGTATGTTAATATCTCTTTTATTACTTGCTCTTAGTATATGATTCTTCTTCTGAAATTTTATTTTATGAGTTAGGGTTCATATGAACCCAGTTTCACTAAAAAATATGAAGTTTTGAGGCATTAACTAATTTATTAAAGTTAAGTGTGCAATCTGTCAACTAATGACAGATGAGTGCATGTAACTTTATGGTGAGATATCTTCCTCTTAACCTATCCAAAATGAGGGATTCTTATCTTAAAATTTTCATTGAAGTGTTAAGTTTATAATCCAACTTGAATTTCTGCAGAACACTTAGTAGAACTCTTCAAATGAGTATTTTACTAACATAGTGTAATCTGCCATACCAACTATGACATATTGTATTGCATAAATTATTTGAATCATTATTTCATGTCGAAAATGCATGATATTTGGTCACAATGATCATAACTCAGTACTATATCCCATATAAAAAGATARRAAAYTATGTCATTTTAGAAGTCTCTATAAATTGATCATTTTAGTGCTAGTAGTTTCTGTCCAAAAATGAGATTTTGGAATTATTTGATTTTATAAATTTTGATCATTTATTGGATTAGAACATTACTTCCGGCATAAATTACTATATTAACGAGCATATTTGCATTATGTATATTTGGACTATAGATAATCAAGTTGGACATATGTAGACACTTATGGACTTAGGACTTATTAAACTCCATAAGTAGTTTTTAACCCATAAGTGACGGTTTTGGATATTCCCCTTTGATAGGGAAACGTTAAGCTCGTGTGGGACCGGATCGTATTTTTGATTAGCGGAACTTGGTAAAAGGGTGAGTATTCACGACCCCTTTTTAAATCCATCGTTATTTGGGGAAAAGCATGTATAAAATTAGATGATGATTTGTATGCAATATACAATATGTTTAAATCGTGGATACAAATTGATTTTATGAAATATGCTTTGAAATGAAATTGTGAATACTAGCACCATGTACGCTAGTAAAAATTGTGTTTGGGTTAATTAAAAAGTCCCACTTGGTTACACTACTTATTAACTCGTATGAGCCGATAGTTTAAGTGGATAGCGCTATTTGGATTGACAATCCCACCTTTTACTGATGAGTAGGGGTGCATTTAACTAAAACTCGGGTTCTACACATGTGGTTTAAACACCACCACTGAGGTAGTTTGGTATAAAGGGCGTAGTTGTCGCAGGTTTAGTAGTGGCCCAACACTTAAAAATTACTTGGAGTACATTGTGCCTCGTTAAAAGTGCTATACGTTTGTAGGTTGTTGCATAAAGATTTGTTGAACATTGAAAACCTGTGAACTCACCAACTCTTGTAGTTGACACTTGTTTCGACGTGCTTTTCAGGGGTAAGAAAGGCACATAGTGGCATTTAAAAGAAGTCGCGTTTCAACTATCACCTTTGAATTTCTTTTTGTTTAATTTATAAACTTATCGTTTGGAAATATAAACATTGGATAATGATGTAATTAAATTTTAAATGTATGGTGGTGTTATTTTTACTCTATTACTATGAGACTCTACCTGTCATACCTTGGCGCGATCACCTACTCCAGAGCCGCCTCGCTCTATGACCGCGCATTCCTTAGCGCCACGTAGAGTTAAAGTTCGGGCCACCGTCCGAAAGTGCATTCGTCGGCCTGTGAGGGTGTCTTTCTCCGCCCCTTCCGGAGCCGTGAGGGAGTCATCTCAGTCACGCACTTGTAGTATAACGCCCCCACCCACCACCAGGGCCACATCGGAGCGCTCTCCGGGTATGACCACCTTGGAGAATTTATGGGTTTTGGGCATCGCCCAAGACCTAGAGATGTGTGAACGTAGTTTGGAGCATTATCGACATTTTGCCGACGGGGTGATTACGGCCCTAGGCACACAAAACAATATGATGGATCGTTCATTAGAGCTGATTATATCGCTAGGAGAGCGATTAGGAGGTTGTACACCTACTTGGCGGTGTTAGCGGGAGTTTTGTCGACAGGAATGGGATTACTTGTTTGGAGTCTGATGCGCTAGAAGACTTTATTTTATTAAGATGTTGATGGATCAAACTTAAAATTTTCTTTTGGGGCATGTAGCCGTGACTTATGAACAATTTCTCTCTTTTGTTGCACGTCTTTATTTTCTTTGTGGATAATATGGGATTTTGTTTTTGAGTGGTTAAATTACGTTGATTAATGATTAAATGCCTTTATTATTATAAGTTATTATATATTGCCTTGGATACATGATTAGATGATTGTAACATGCCGTGCATAATACAATACAGTGGTAAATAGTGAAAATAACCAAACTTCGATTTAAAATTTGTGCGTTAGAAATATGCCTCCAATAAGAGAATATCCCGAAAGTACGAGACTTGTGTCCGAGCAAATTCTGGCAGCCCTCCCTAATATAGTTAGCCAAGTAGCAGCAGGCTTGAACGCTAACCAAGCAAATAACCAAGGTACAACAGCAAATAGAGACTGCACGTRCAAAGGCTTTASAGCTTGCAACCCWAAAGAATTCCACGGGACAGAAGGAGCCGTCGGATTGCTTACTTGGATTGAAGGAATGGTGTTCGTCCTTCATATCAGTAAATGTGCTGAAGGGAGCAAAGTGGAGTTTGCAGCCTGTTTACTGCAAGGACGGGCATTGACGTGGTGGAATACCCAGATACAAACCCGAGGTCGGGAAGCAACCAACGGACTTACGTRGGAAGAATTCAAGAAATTACTCAAGGAAGAGTACTGTCCGAGGAGCGAGATCTAGAAGTTGGAAGCAGAACTTTGGAATCACAAAATGAATGGAAGTGATGTAGACTCATACACTGCTCGTTTTCATGAGCTGGAAAAACTGGTGCCACACTTGGTRTCACCTGAAGAGAACCGAATTGACCGTTATGTCTGGGGTTTAGCTCCAGAAATTCGGGGGAATGTGAATTCGGCTAATCCAAAAACAATTCAAGATGCCATGAATTTAGCGACGAAACTTACCAACAATGCTATTCGGTCAGGATCATTTGCAAATGATAAAGTCAAGGGTAAGAGAAGGATGGAGGAGCCAGGGAGGAAGAACTACAGTGAGAGGGGCGGTAAGGCCCAAAAAGTGATAAGAAACTTTGGGGCTCAATCACAAACAGGAGAAAAGGGCAAGGGAACTTACCCTAAGTATGGCAAGTGCAATTATCACCATAGCGGGAGATGTATCATCTGTTTCAGATGCAACAAAGGAGGTCATTTCGCTAAAGATTGCAGGAGCGGAGGGAGTCGAACATGCCATGAGTGCGGAAGCCCGGATCACTTTTGGAATACATGCCCGAAATTGAACCGAGGGCCAGTTACTAACCCAGCACGACCAGTCAACCAAGGAAATCAAGGAGGCCAAGCACGAGGTCGAGCATTTGAAATTCGGGTGGAAGAAGCCAGGCAAGACTCGAATGTGGTCACAGGTACATTTCTTCTGAATAATCATTACGCATCCATATTATTTGATTCTGGAGCAGATAGGAGCTTTGTATCACTAGAATTTAGACCAAAGATTAGTTTAAAGTCGCAAAAGCTGAAAGAAGACTTCGTTATCGAGTTTGCTAATGGCCATGAAGTTAGGACTGAAGACGTAATCACATATTGTACATTACATTTAGCTGAACAAAACTTTAGCATAGACCTTATTACATATAGATTAGGAAGCTTCGATGTAGTTGTGGGTATGGATTGGCTATCCAAAAATCAAGCCGAGATATGTTGTTCTGAGAAGACCATCCGAATTATGAAAGGAAGTGAAACGCTCGTAGTGCACAGAGAGAAGTCCCAGAGAAATTTCAAGTTAATAACATGTATGAAGATGCAAAAATACTTGAAAAAGGAATATGTCACGTTTATAGCTCACATTATGGATAAAGGAATTGAAGAGAAACGCATCTAGGATTTTCCCATAGTTCGGGATTTTCCCGAGGTATTTCCTGACGAGCTACCAGGATTACCCCCGTTACGGCAAGTCGAATTTCACATTGACTTAATTCTTGGAGCAACACCTATAGCCAAATCACCTCATCGTTTGGCACCATCAGAAAAGCAAGAAGAAGCATTCCAATTGCTCAAACATAAGCTATGTCACGCACCGATCTTAGCGCTACAAGAAGGCACGAAGAATTTCATGGTACATTGCGATGCGTCACACCAAGGCTTGGGATGTGTGCTGATGCAAAATGACAAGGTCATTGCTTATGCATCAAGGCAACTCAAGGTTCATGAAAAGAACTACACCACTCATGACTTGGAGCTAGGAGCAGTGGTGTTTGCACTCAAGATTTGGAGATATTATCTATACGGCACCAAATGCACCGTCTTCACTGATCACAAAAGTCTTCAACATATTCTAAACCGAAAGATGCTGAACATGAGGCAACGGAGATGGGTCGAACTTCTCAACGATTATGACTGTGAAATAAAATACCACCCAGGGAAAATTAACGTGGTAGCAGACGCCTTAAGCCGAAAAGAAAGGGTAAAACCATCAAGGGTATGAGCCATGGGAATAATAATTCAAATGAACCTAAAAACGCAAATTCGTGAAGCTCAATAAGAGGCGTTGAAAACAGAGAATCTGAAGAACGAGACCCTGCACCACTTAGAGAAGGAATTCGAAACTCGAGCATATGGGGTGCGTTACTTTAGAGATAGAGTTTGGATACCAAAGGACGACAACCTCCGGTCAACAATTTTGGAGGAAGCACATCGCTCAATATACTCAATTCACCGAGGAACTGATAAGATGTACCGGGAGCTAAAAGATTATTATTGATGGCCAGGAATGAAGAAAGATATTGCTTTGTTCGTAAGCAAGTGCCTGACTTGTGCCCAGGTAAAGGCTGAACATTAGAAACCATCTGGTCTACTCCAGCAACCTGAAATACCTCAATCGAAATGGGAGAAAATAACCATGGATTTCGTAAATAAGCTACCCAGAACTAGAAAGGGGCACGATACTATATGGGTTATAGTAGACCGACTTACCAAATCAGCTCATTTCATTCCCATTCGCAAAGATTTCAGCATGGAAAGGAGTGCACAAATCTACATCAATGAAATAGTTGCACGTCATGGTGTGCCTATTTCCATTATTTAAGATAGAGATACACGTTTTGCATCACGATTTTTGCAGTCTCTTCAAAAGGCGTTGGATACGCGCTTGGATTATAGCACCGCTTATCATCCTCAAATAGATGGAAAATCGGAAAGAACTATTCAAATGCTTGAGGATATGTTTCATGCATGTGCAATAGATTTTGGTGGGAGTTGGGATACCCATTTGCCCTTTGTTGAATTCTCTTATAACAACAACTATCACACCAGCATACAATGTGCACCATACGAAGCTCTATACGGACGTAAATGCAGATCGCCGCTTAGCTGTGTAGAGATCGGAGATAGACAGTTGACAACGCCCAATATTATTTAGGAAACCACCAACAAGATTTCAATCATCAAGGAGAGACTCAAGACATCAAGAGACCGTCAGAAGAGTTATACGGATAATCGGAGAAAGCCGTTAGAATTCCAAGAGGGGGATAAAGTACTTTTAAAGGTATCGCCATGGAAGGGACTAGTACGTTTCAGGAAGAGAGGCAAGCTGGGTCCCAGATACATTGGTCCATTCAAAATACTCGAAAGAATCATACCAGTGGCGTACAAGTTGAAGTTACCACAAAATCTAAGCGCCATCCACGAGACGTTCCATGTGTCAAATCTAAAGAAATTCCTAACGGATGAAACAATAGTGTTACCCCTGGATGACTTTCAGATTAACGATCGGTTACACTTCATCGAAGAACCATTCGAGATACCGAACCGAGAAGTTAAACGGTTGAGGCGCAGTAAAATCCCAATTATTAAGGTCCGTTGGAATGCGAAACATGGCCCAGAGTACACTTGGGAACGGGAAGATTTCATGAAAGGCAAATATCCACATTTGTTTGCAGAGAAATCCATTGGCAGTAGCAGACGTTAAATTTCAGGACGAAATTTCTCTAACAGGGGGAGACTGTGACAACTGTCAAATTTGAACTACCAGGTTAGCTCTTATTAAGTTTATATTAGTGTTATTGAATATAATTTTTAAGATTAGGAGTTAGTTAGATTAGATTGGCCGAAAAAATTCTAGAGTTTCCGGTAGTTGCTTACMAAGTCCGGTTCCGACCCGTAACTATCTGAAACGTCCTATATAGTGCCAAATGCTCCAATTTATACCCAATTTATATAAAACACAAAGTTTTAGTGTTTTAAACATAAAACTTTTATTATTTAAATGAATTTAACCAACATGGGTTTTTAATTTGAAGAAAAATGTTAAAATTGAGAAAAATGACATTTTAACAATTTTGGGCTTAAAGTTTAAAAAAAATATATAGATTTTGGGCTTAGGCCTTCCCTATGGCCGGCCACCCCTACCTTTCCCTCTTAAATCCACATATAAATACCTTTATTTTCCATTTACAACTCATTTCCACCCTTTTCAATTTATGAAACTCCCTCTCCCTCTCTCTCCCTAAGACTCAAGAGTCATTTTAAGATCATCTTCATCATCCTTCATCTTCAGCCAAATACCTCCATATTTCTTCCTCCAAAATAGCAAAGATTTTGAAGATATTGCATCCTTCATATCATCAATCAAGGTAACAACTCCATCTCCACCTTTTCTTGCATTTTAAGTGCTGACGGATTATATGCATGTGCATAATTCGTCCCTTTCTTGCAAATAATATGTTAAAATGTCATGAATCTTCTCCTAAAAGTTCATTTATTGAGTTGGGGTTTTAATCCAATTGGTCTCACCCAAAAACAGTGAGTTTTGATTCCCCAAATACTCAAATCAAGATGCATGTGTATCTGGAAGTTTTTCAGTAGGTAAACCCTACTGTAAACAACCATAACTCTCTAAATAATCATCCAAAATCATTGATTTTTCTTCTGGAAGTTAATTTAATGAGTTACCTTTCAAATGCCACTAATTTCATTCAAAAATATGGTGATATGAGGTTTTATCTACTCAAAACAAAATGAGTATGCAATCTGTCCGAAAGTAACAGATTTGTATATATATGTTCTAATGACCATATCTGTTTCAAAACTTGATGAAAAAGGATGATTCTTCCTTTGAGAGTTAACTATATGAGTTATCTTCTGAATGCAAGTGGAATCACATAAATTTTGATAATTTATTGGATTATAACATTACTTCCGGTATAAATTACTATATTAACGAGCATRTGKGCATTATGTATATTTGGACTATAGATAATCAAGTTGGACATATGTAGACACTTATGGACTTAGGAATTATTAATCCCCATAAGTAGTTTTAAACCCATAAGTAACGGTTTTGGATATTCCTCTTTGATAGGGAAACGTTAAGCTCGTGTGGGGACCGAATCGTATTTTTGATTGGCGGAGCTTGGCAAAAGGGTGAGTATTCACGACCCCTTTTTAAATCCATCGTTATTTGGGGAAAAGCATGTATAAAATTAGATAATGATTTGTATGCAATATACAATATGTTTAAATCGTGGATAAAATTGATTTTATGAAATATGCTTCGAAATGAAATTGTGAATACGAGCACTAACACCACGTACGCTAGTAAAAATTGTGTTTGGGTTAATTAAAAAGTCCCACTTGGTTACACTACTTATTAACTCGTA